TAAAAAAAAATTATGTAACACGAGGGAAGCAGCAACAATCAAAGTGATTAAAAAAAATTATTATAAATATCGTAAATAACAGTTACAAATGCATATATAGAGATATTTTTTGAAAGGGGGGAAATGGTCTTCACAATTTGAAATCGATTGAACACACTGTGCGCGAATGCTCGTGTAAACGCGCGCCATCTATCGTAGGATAAATGTACTTCGCGGGAATGTATTAATATTATATATATATATCTGCTAAAACTTTAAAAATTATGATTTAATATTGTCTATATACTTTTATGAACATGTTATTTTACTTCTTAGATGCAATTAATTGACACATTGTTTGCTGCTGAGAAACATGGACATTATCAGTCTCCAGTAAACCAGTATCGTAAACTATTAGGTAAAACAGTTTAATATTAATCATACTTTTATGTCTTTATGAAAAATAGATATATTTTTAAACATTGAGAAACTGTTTTTGAGTTTAAAAAACAAATTATATTATTAGGAACATTAAACTAAGATTACAATGCATAATCAAACATTTATATCAATTTATGAAAATACAGTCAAACCTCATATTACAAACACCCTTGTTTATGAACAGAATTTTGAATGCCATATGATAACTTGGTTTCCAAACAAGTTACTTGGCAAGAATTGTTCACAGACTGTGAACTCCCTATACTTCTTGTGTTAAAGAAAGTTGACAGTCTGACCAATCAATGACAGAACTACCAATTCAGAAGTTAGTGGTGCCAAGATTGCCTCACATCATGTACCAAATCATCAATGATGTTGCTATTTAAATTACATTTTAATGCATATGTGGGAAAGATACTATTTTCATTTTTCTATACTCACCATGGTTGAATTTAAATCAAATTAATTAATAAAAACTGCATTAATTGACATTCATGTAATACAAATGGCATTCAAGAATTTATGTTTAAATATGCTTAAGTTAAATTAAATGACAAAAATTTATTAATATGATATTAATATTTATTAATACTAAGTAGCCAGTTAATTAAACTAAAACTAATAATTAAATTTAAAATTAATAATTAAAACTGGCCTTTACACCAAAAATAAAAATAATTATTTAATTAATTTTAATTTTATTTAAATTGAAATCAAGTCAAATGAAACAATATTTTCAAAAGCGTTGATAAAGTACTTGTTGTTGGTCTTGATAGATTTCATTATATTTCATCTTGACAGTCAGAATTCAGTCACTAGTGTTAGTTTTGGTTTCTGTTTCAGTTACCAGTGAGGAAACATTTTGCTTTTAATGCTATATGTATAGAATAAATATAGGTATATAGATGAAGTAATATTATATATAATATAATATTTCTTTTGTAGGAATTTTATGCATGAAATACAGCTAACAAGGTAAAAAAAGGTTATGTTTTGGGAGAGTTGGGAACGAATTAATCCATTTTACATCATTTCTTATGGGAAAATTTGTTTTGGTTTGAGAACAGATCAGCTTCCAAACAACTTTTAGGAATGAATTAAGTTTGTAAACTGAGATTTGACTGTAATATCATTAAATATAATGAAGAAATAAATGGTTACTGGAAACAAATTCTGTTAGAATTAATATAGGATTGACAAATTGATTAATTAATAAAAACTATTAATTAATTTGTTATATGATTAATGATTATATTTTAAAATTTATTTAATGTTACCGTAGAGATTTGAATTATTTATTGTTTATCTAAAAAATGAAATTAGTGTCAGATTGTTAGTGTAATCTAATATTGTTGCAAGTCACTATATTAATGTATTTGAGAACAATGTGATTAGAAAATATAGAAAAAATCATGACATGCTAATCATTGTTTTATTCCTTTGTGATTTCATTTTCAAATCTGACATTACCCTAAGCTTATTTTTTTATCGACTATTATCCATACACATATAGTGGAATATCATTTATACATCTCTCAAGGGATCAAACAAAAAAGACTTAATTGAAAGTTTTCTTATTGGTTTATGTTAAATTTTTAAAAGTTTGTATTTTTGTTTCTTTAAATGAAGAATGTAGATTATATATTTGATCCATTATTTCATTTGAATTCTGTATGTTTTGAACTGCCTATGAATAGACAATTTTTCTTTTAATATTAAACTCATTACTGGATATCAATAACATGTGTTATTTTATTTTTAATTGAAAGTTAAACCATATTGTACCACAAGATAGCAAAACTAATAATTTTTATGAAAAACACATTTTATTACAGTTTTTAATGAATGTTTCGATATTTATCTACTATTTTATATATTTATAATAAAAAACTACAATAAGTTTTATTGCACATATTATTTTGAAATCATAGTGAAAAGTAAGAAACATTAACTCATATACCTTGTTAACAGCAATAAAATTACAAAGTGATTTTTCTCTATTCAAATACCACTGATAAAGATGATATAATACCATCTACTTTTGCTGTTATAGAATACTACAAACATATAAATTTTTTATGTATTCTGATCACTTTCATTAACCTACTAATCTTTCTTCTCTGTAAGACAATTGTCTTGCCAAGTCAATTTTGGAAAGGTGAAGAGAGGCATTCAATAATAGAACAAAGAATATGTTGTAGAAATTCTGAAAGAATATTATGATACCTATTGTCTTCATCAGAAAGGAAATCATATATAAATGAAACTTCATAATAGAGTTAGACATATAAATGAAATATTTCGCCATAAACTACAAAAACAACCATAGTAATGAATGGTAATATTTTAGCACATATAAAACAATGTATAAATATGAAACCTAAATAATGTTCCACTGTATTTAATTTGGATAAGACAATCATAAAAATAATTTAAAATTTTAATTTTTTTCTTCTTTTATTAATTTTTGGTAAATGTTGTATTTTTAAATATATCATGATGCATATTAATTAATATAACTAATGATATTTAATTTATGTTTAATTATATTAGAAAATATAACTTAAATTATATGATTGCTTATTTTTTGTTTATTTGTATTATATTTTAAGATATTAATTATTTTATATATTCTTTCATCACTTATCTAAAATAAATTTTTTCATATCTAAAAGTAAAATATTTATTTTAGTACAGTTGACTTGATTTAAAACAAACACTAATAAAATGAATTATTGTGTTAAAGCAAATTTTACCATTGCCCTGGCAAAACATCATTGTCACAACATTAATTTTTACATGATAAAGTGAACAAAAATTTTACCAGTTTTCATTAAACTAAACTGTAAATTACTTTCACAACCACCAAGAAATAGCTATATTTTCAATAATGGTTGCTTTTTACACTTTTTGAAGTGAACAATGAGAAGTGGTAATGTAAAAAATGTTCCTTTTAAAGAATAGATTTTCTTCTACTAAGCAAAGATGGGTNCTATATACTTTTATGAACATGTTATTTTACTTCTTAGATGCAATTAATTGACACATTGTTTGCTGCTGAGAAACATGGACATTATCAATCTCCAGTAAACCAGTATCGTAAACTATTAGGTAAAACAGTTTAATATTAATCATACTTTTATGTCTTTATGAAAAATAGATATATTTTTAAACATTGAGAAACTGTTTTTGAGTTTAAAAAACAAATTATATTATTAGGAACATTAAACTAAGATTACAATGTATAATCAAACATTTATATCAATTTATGAAAATACAGTCAAACCTCATATTACAAACACCCTTGTTTATGAACAGAATTTTGAATGCCATATGATAACTTGGTTTCCAAACAAGTTACTTGGCAAGAATTGTTCACAGACTGTGAACTCCCTATACTTCTTGTGTTAAAGAAAGTTGACAGTCTGACCAATCAATGACAGAACTACCAATTCAGAAGTTAGTGGTGCCAAGATTGCCTCACATCATGTACCAAATCATCAATGATGTTGCTATTTAAATTACATTTTAATGCATATGTGGGAAAGATACTATTTTCATTTTTCTATACTCACCATGGTTGAATTTAAATCAAATTAATTAATAAAAACTGCATTAATTGACATTCATGTAATACAAATGGCATTCAAGAATTTATGTTTAAATATGCTTAAGTTAAATTAAATGACAAAAATTTATTAATATGATATTAATATTTATTAATACTAAGTAGCCAGTTAATTAAACTAAAACTAATAATTAAATTTAAAATTAATAATTAAAACTGGCCTTTACACCAAAAATAAAAATAATTATTTAATTAATTTTAATTTTATTTAAATTGAAATCAAGTCAAATGAAACAATATTTTCAAAAGCGTTGATAAAGTACTTGTTGTTGGTCTTGATAGATTTCATTATATTTCATCTTGACAGTCAGAATTCAGTCACTAGTGTTAGTTTTGGTTTCTGTTTCAGTTACCAGTGAGGAAACATTTTGCTTTTAATGCTATATGTATAGAATAAATATAGGTATATAGATGAAGTAATATTATATATAATATAATATTTCTTTTGTAGGAATTTTATGCATGAAATACAGCTAACAAGGAAGGTAAAAAAAAGGTTATGTTTTGGGATAGTTGGGAACGAATTAATCCATTTTACATCATTTCTTATGGGAAAATTTGTTTTGGTTTGAGAACAGATCAGCTTCCAAACAACTTTTAGGAATGAATTAAGTTTGTAAACTGAGATTTGACTGTAATATCATTAAATATAATGAAGAAATAAATGGTTACTGGAAACAAATTCTGTTAGAATTAATATAGGATTGACAAATTGATTAATTAATAAAAACTATTAATTAATTTGTTATATGATTAATGATTATATTTTAAAATTTATTTAATGTTACCGTAGAGATTTGAATTATTTATTGTTTATCTAAAAAATGAAATTAGTGTCAGATTGTTAGTGTAATCTAATATTGTTGCAAGTCACTATATTAATGTATTTGAGAACAATGTGATTAGAAAATATAGAAAAAATCATGACATGCTAATCATTGTTTTATTCCTTTGTGATTTCATTTTCAAATCTGACATTACCCTAAGCTTATTTTTTTATCGACTATTATCCATACACATATAGTGGAATATCATTTATACATCTCTCAAGGGATCAAACAAAAAAGACTTAATTGAAAGTTTTCTTATTGGTTTATGTTAAATTTTTAAAAGTTTGTATTTTTGTTTCTTTAAATGAAGAATGTAGATTATATATTTGATCCATTATTTCATTTGAATTCTGTATGTTTTGAACTGCCTATGAATAGACAATTTTTCTTTTAATATTAAACTCATTACTGGATATCAATAACATGTGTTATTTTATTTTTAATTGAAAGTTAAACCATATTGTACCACAAGATAGCAAAACTAATAATTTTTATGAAAAACACATTTTATTACAGTTTTTAATGAATGTTTCGATATTTATCTACTATTTTATATATTTATAATAAAAAACTACAATAAGTTTTATTGCACATATTATTTTGAAATCATAGTGAAAAGTAAGAAACATTAACTCATATACCTTGTTAACAGCAATAAAATTACAAAGTGATTTTTCTCTATTCAAATACCACTGATAAAGATGATATAATACCATCTACTTTTGCTGTTATAGAATACTACAAACATATAAATTTTTTATGTATTCTGATCACTTTCATTAACCTACTAATCTTTCTTCTCTGTAAGACAATTGTCTTGCCAAGTCAATTTTGGAAAGGTGAAGAGAGGCATTCAATAATAGAACAAAGAATACGTTCTAGAAATTCTGAAAGAATATTATGATACCTATTATCTTCATCAGAAAGGAAATCATAAATAAATGAAACTTCATAATAGAGTTAGACATATAAATGAAATATTTCGCCATAAACTACAAAAACAACCATAGTAATGAATGGTAATATTTTAGCACATATAAAACAATGTATAAATATGAAACCTAAATAATGTTCCACTGTATTTAATTTGGATAAGACAATCATAAAAATAATTTAAAATTTTAATTTTTTTCTTCTTTTATTAATTTTTGGTAAATGTTGTATTTTTAAATATATCATGATGCATATTAATTAATATAACTAATGATATTTAATTTATGTTTAATTATATTAGAAAATATAACTTAAATTATATGATTGCTTATTTTTTGTTTATTTGTATTATATTTTAAGATATTAATTATTTTATATATTCTTTCATCACTTATCTAAAATAAATTTTTTCATATCTAAAAGTAAAATATTTATTTTAGTACAGTTGACTTGATTTAAAACAAACACTAATAAAATGAATTATTGTGTTAAAGCAAATTTTACCATTGCCCTGGCAAAACATCATTGTCACAACATTAATTTTTACATGATAAAGTGAACAAAAATTTTACCAGTTTTCATTAAACTAAACTGTAAATTACTTTCACAACCACCAAGAAATAGCTATATTTTCAATAATGGTTGCTTTTTACACTTTTTGAAGTGAACAATGAGAAGTGGTAATGTAAAAAATGTTCCTTTTAAAGAATAGATTTTCTTCTACTAAGCAAAGATGGGTTTGACACCTGACTGTGGAACAATTCAAACATCTAGTTTTACTGAACATTCTACTATACTCAAAAAATAGGTTTTGAAGTTTAAGGGCACCCACCCCTTTAAATGGATGTAGTCCCATATAAACACATGCTTGTTTGCATATCAGGGACTGTATACAGTGATGCCAGGTTTGGCTACTTTGCACCAAATTTGGATCCCTTTTAACTCTTGGCATCAAAAAAGCATTGACACCTTGGCTATTTTTTTTGGCTAAGCATGTGTCACTATTAACATAACTCATACTCTGTACAATAATGTCAGGACCAGTCAGGATATTCCTTGACAGAAATGATGATTTCATAAATGAAAGAAAGATTGACAGTGATTTTCAGCCATCAAAGTCTTCTTTCAAGGATGCAATGGACACAGTAGAGACCATACATTGCTATCTGCAGTTTGAAAGTGATGCAGATGAATATCTAAAGGTGACATTTGCAATTGAAAAAAAAATATTTTTTCTACTTTTTCAAGCAATCTTTAACAGAAAAAATCACAGATTTTTTTTAGCTTTGTTTTGTTTAACCACTCTGATATGCTGTTCCATACTTAAACAGTGAATAATGTCTATTCCTTTTGATTGATTTGAAATCGTTTAGAACATTTACTTACAAAAACAAATAAATTTAATTTTATTTAACTTTATGTAGTAAATTAATTCAAAATATTAAAATTTAGAGATTTTGATCATCTATTAAGCTTAACTTCCTAAATTATATAACCTTGACCTTGACCCTGAAAATTGTCAATACAAATTTTTGATCAAGCGAGCTATTCTCTTAGTGATTCATATTAACTTCAGCTGACTGTTTTGTTTTTGTGTGTTTGTGTGAGGCAGATTTAGTATATATGATTAGTAATGCTGTTAAAGAAAAATAATGTAGTGTTCAAGATTGACACTAATAATAGTGAAGTGTATACAGTAATGCAGCCCTGTAACAATAGTCATACTTGCCAAGTGGCATTTGCATCTACTATGTGGTTTAGAAAATGACATTGCCAATATAATACTGCATCACAATTGAATAATGATCTGTTGTTCAATTTTTGTAGCTGAAGGCATTAGTCCTAATTAGATCCATCACATGCACAATAGGGAGAATCGTGCATGTTGCTACAAAAAGCTACAAGTCTATGTGGCTCATCATCTATGTTTTGTTTTGCCTTCCTTGAACCTTTGAACCAACTTGCAAGCTTTTTACAGCAACATGTGGGACTCTTGTTGTTGTGCATACAACCTGTAATGGATCTCACCAATTTGTAAGTGTAATGCCTTTGGCTATCAAAAATAGAGTAACAGCTTGATGTTAATTTGTGGTGCAATTTGATATAGATGACACAATTTTGTAAACTGTATAGTGAACACAAATGTCATCTGGCATGGACAAGTATTGATACAGATCTGCATTAGTGACAGATCTAATAATATTGATATCTCTTTCAATATTATTAGTATTAATCTTAAATGCTGTTATTCTTCTTTAGCAGTGCTACAAATCTTATTTATTGAATATGTGTCATGTTTTTAATGAGAAAATAATAATTTAATTAGATTTAATCAAATCTTCCAAAATTTTTGTTTATTTCTAATTTTTTTAATTCTGAAAATTGTAATGTAAATAAAAGAGCAATACAGTAGAGCGTCTATTTTCCGAATCAATTGGGGACTGGGGTTGTTCGTATAACTGATATTTCGGATAACCGATTTATGTACGAAAAAATAGTTTAACGTATCCGATGTTGAAATTTTTCTCCGTTGCGTGTCGCTTTGTGTTGAATTTTCGTCGAAGTTAAGCCTAACAAAGACTATTGTATCGTTAAAAATTAGTTTTTTACTTTGTACAAACAAAATAAATATATTGAAAAATATAAAAACAATAAAAAAATATACTTCAGATGTTAATTTAGTATCAAAAACGTAAAATATTTGAGTAGCCCAAGACATAGCCAAAGATTGAAGCGCCACAGCACTGGCGAAAATTTAAATTTGCCGACTGGAATTCTTTCGGATGATTGACTTTCGGAAAATCGACGCTCTACTGTATATTCTTAAAAATTTATTAAAGGTACAAACAATGTAAATTATTATTATAAACTAATAGATAATATTTTATATGAAAATATACTTTTCAGTATGTGATGTCATGCCAGTTATATTAAACTCCAGTGAAATTCAGATTCCATCAAAACAAATGTTTCGTTTACTTCAAAAATCAGTAGAATTTTATATTTGTTATATTGTTCAGTCATCTTGGAAAGAAGCACAAACTACTAGGTAGATCATTTCTAGATACAATACTTAATTTATGTCCAAATAATTAAATTTTTTGTTTTCTTTCATAGAAAAGATGAGAAACATACAATTGATAGACCTATTGATGATCCTTGGGATCAACTTTTTCATCTTTTAGAAGCTGCTGGGAAAAAATTAGAATGGGAACTTGCAGATATATTTTCTACAGTTGTTGGTAGTGAAGGTTTATGGCAAAGAATTGTTTCTTTTATTCAAAAAAGACCTTATATGTCTCTAGGTGAGCCTGGAGGAATCAATGATTTTAGTACAAGCAGTAGTTGTCAAGCATTAAATTTATCTGATGATTATGTTATGGCACAAAATAAACAAGTTGGTTAATTTTAATCTCAAATTTATTATTTTTAATTCCTAGATTATTTTATTTTGTTTAATTTTTCAGGTATTTTTCTGTGCTACAGTGATTTTTCTATATTCCTTATATCATTATGGTCAATTAGTTAATTCTGAATGGCTTGGAGGTAAATAATAATAAGAATTGATAGTGTTTACTATTTTGTTTTTTTAAAATATATTTTGATATATTCATTAAAATACATGAATCATTATTTTTGTTTTATAAATTTGATAGCAAGCAATAATTTGGGTGAATCAAGTTATATTCTTATTGAGGGATTAAATTTGATTCAAGATGAAGCAGTTGAACAGTAAATATAAGTTTTTATCATAATAATTTTAAATTTATTTATCTTTAATAAGGATATTTTATAAAATTTTTCAGAATAAAACATAAAAAAAGAAAACTTGATTGTGAGGTAAGTCATGTTTATGAAATATATTGAGATATATTCTTGTTTTAGTTTGAATTTCATATTTTAGATATAAAATATTTATTTGTTAGGCATTAATTAAAATTTTACTGATAATTTCTTTATTCATTATAGGGAAATCAATTTTAAATTTATGACTCATTCTTCTAAAATACAATTCCATATTTCTGTATTGTACTTTTCCAACTATTATAGAATATTATAGCACAGGGAAAAAAACATGGTGATTACTCAAATTTTGATCTCTGGTTTTTTTGCATTCTCAATGTTGACATTCTATGAGCTAAAAATGTAAACAAAACCCATAAAAAATTGTTTGTGTGTGTCAATATCTATTATGCATTATATTTCAGGACTGGATAAACCAAAAATTTTTAAACTGGACTGGATAAACCAAAAATGGAACAATTTATCATTATTCAGCATTACTCCTTTAAGCTTTTATTATTATTTAAATTTTATATCATAATATAATCAAAAGTTGTTCTTTTCTGATCCCTTAATCTTCTATTTGAGTGCCAAGAAAGTCATGTGAGATTTCTTGCCATTTCTTTTTTAAGATATAATTTAGCCAAGTGTTTAAGTTTTGTTCAGATTTATTTGTATTTTTGCAATGTTAGACTTGACATTTTGTTTGATTTAGAATTATTTTATTCTCAAAAGTTAAACGTTTTTATATATATATACTGTACATATAAAAAAGTATATATATACTAGCTGTTACCCGCGGCTTTGCCTGCGAGGATTTTGCAAGCAAACCCCATTTATATTCAGTAATTCAACAACTATAGTAATTGTTATATAACACCTACCGCTGAAAATGATGAGAATTGCCAAGAATCAAACAAACTGTTTTTAATTTGATCAATTTTCTGGAACGTTTACGATTGTTCTATAATCGAACCGATATGCAATAACAAATTCAAATTTAAAACAGTTCGAACATTTTAAAAATCGAAATAGATAAAAATATTTATAACAATGTCTGAAATGTTATCAATTTAATACATCTAAGTACTCAATGAAGACTAAAAGCAGATAAAAACAAAAATTGCATCTAAAATAATATAGTAGAAGCCATTCTTCAGGTTAAGCCTTAATCCTCTTCCTCTCTCCTGCGGGAGAATTTCGAAAAATCCCTTCTTAGTGCGCGCTTTCATGATGTACCCTAACTGTTTACTAAATTTCACCTCTTTAGGTTCAGCGGTTTGCTCTGGGCGATGATGAATCAGTGACTAAGTCAGTCCGTCAGTCAGGACAAGCAATTTTATATATTTAGATATACATATAAAAAAGTTTAACTTTAATTTTTTTAATTTAATTTAATTTAAACAATAATTATAATTTAATTAAATAATTTTAGATTAAACTTATATATAAATTTAATCTAAAATTATTTAATTAAATTATAATTATTAAATTTAATACAAGATGACACCTAATACCTCTCTCTAGGTTCAAATTTACTAGTAATTTATAATTATTATTGCCAAAATATGGCCTGATGATATACAGCAGTTAAAGGAATTATTACAAAAAACATTATATATAATAATGTTTAAAAAATTTGTGTGAAACTTGCTATCATGAACTATGCACATAAACCATTTTACATAAATTTTTGTTGCTAATTTAATTATCTTTAGAGGAAACATTTATTGTTAGTAGAACTGAAATTTATTGTCTTTATTTCTTAAATTTCTACTCAAATATTTTTACTTATTCTTGGAGAAGAAAAATTTTATTTTCTTGATTTTAAATTATTCTAAAGTATTCTAATTTAATTAGATCTGGTTTTGTTATAGACAGGGAAAGAAAATATTTTTAAGTGTATATACCAAAATCACTAAATTTATAATGCAAAATTTTGTCATGTGCTAACCAAAATTTTTGAGAGTATATTATTATTTGATCTAGCAGCTAGATGTTGCTACAGAAAAGCTAGATTTAGAAGATTTTGTAATAAATTGGCAACTGTGTTTCTAAGTTAGTACATCTTAGAGATAGATGTCTTGGAAATAGGATATTTGCTTCATTTTCTTATTACTTATTATTAATTAAACAATAGTTATTACTTGATAGTGTTTGCTTCTTTATTGCATTTTTATTTAGTGTTGCTCTACTCAATAAAATTATGTTTTGTTGAGTTAGAACATGAAACTCAGCAAAGATGTTGGGTATTTATTTTTACTTTCCTGGCTGTTATAGATAGCAAAGGGAAAGTATGGCAATCAGTCTAAAAATGACTCCCAAGATTTTTACATTTTTGGGCTCAGGACACCTTGAAACACTGAGAAATGCAAAAAAATTTGGGTTTTTTTTCCTGTGTGTGTGTGAAGCATGATTTAGTTTATCCTATTTGAAGCTTAATAATTTCTGTGTTTTTAGTCAAAAATTTCTGAAATTTTTCAGGGAGGTTTTTTATTAGGAGGATTGATACTATTAAATTTTGGTGATTAAAAGTCAAGGAGGTTGTGAGATAAAGGGGGTCATGTGTCACATCTCAAGTAGGGTCAGACTTAATGATGATTTTATTTATTATTAGCATTTACAATTTTTTTATAAAACTCATTCCTACCCTTAAAATTAAGCTATTTGTCATTTTATAATAGTTAAAAATATAAAGTGTTTAATAAAATATCATAACAGATAACATCACTAAATGTTGCTAGGAAAGTTAAGCAACTCATTGCTAGATTTTTTAAATTAAGCCTTGGGTTGTGTGCCAGAAACAAGTTATTGGCATGTATGCCAAGCGTTGTTACCCACCTCTGTCATGGGACAGAACAGTGTGCATACCAAATTTGGTTGAGATTTATCAATAGTTCTTTCTACAGAGAATTCTAAACACCTTTCTTTAGTTATGGTCATCTTATATAATAGATTTAAAAGTAATATATGTTGTATAATATAGGCCAGTGTTTCTTAACCACCAGACCATGGACCAGTGCTGGTCCACAGAAAAATATGTGACCATACTGATGCTGGTGCAATTGATTATGGATGACATTCAAATAGTAATCTAGATAGGCATGTATAAACATAATAAGTATAATTCATAGTTACATATAATTACTGGTTCATGTAAAATTATCCATAATTTTACTGGTTTGTGATGAGGAAAAGGTTGAGAAATACTGGTATAGACTATTCATAAGTTTTAATACCACATATATTTATGGTTATGGTAATCAAGTTATTGCAAATGTGTAACATAAGAACAAGAGAGAGATGCTATCTAAATGTATTAAAATTCAAACTAATGTTTAATATTTTTTGAAAATATGATTTTCCTGTAAATATTTTGCCTCTGACTTGCAGAATTAATTATGAAATGCTCTTATATTAATCAGTTCAAAATAAGTTGGAAGTGAAATACTTGCATGATTGCCAATTATACTTTATTATATGTTTGTAATAAACAATCAATTTATGATAAAAAATAACAATAAAAAAAATACTAATGTTCTCATATTATGGATGTAGCCTGTTGAAAGCACAAGGATCTTGGTAATATTTTAATAGTGGAGATTTATAGTACACATATGTTGAGGAAAAGCAGCAAGTGCATGCAATGTTATAATTGTCATACTACATAATTAGAAAGAATGATTGATTTGCTGGGATTCAGAAATATATTTTTAATATGAGTTCTGGCTGTGTTAAGTATGAAATCATCATAAGTCAACTACAATTTACATTATTTCACAAGCATTTTATCTTGTTAATCAATATTTGGTATTTGAATTTTTAAAATACCTGGAATTTTTAATTTAATATTCTGGAAAACCTGGAAAAGTCAGGGAAATTTAAAATCCAATTTTACCAATACTCTGTAATGAAATTATACATTAATATTTAAATAATTGAAATTCTGTTATAAATAAATGGAGCAATATTTTGTTTAACATCAGATAAATCTTTCTTTAAGAAAATTGAAAATACAGTTTAACCCGCTTGTAACATCATCCATGGGACTGGCAATTTTTTGACATTATAACAGAGTGTTGTTATCTATGGGGTCATAATTTTAGTCCCATAGATTCTTAAACCACTTGGTACTTACCAAGTGGTTTAAGAATCTATTATAAAATCTATTCTAATTTAACATCGTATGTATTACCGTAAAATTATTTCTTAATAGTAATACAGTATACTGTATCTCTNTTTTACTTAAAATTTCTATTTATCTTAAGTTTCAATAATGGCAGAACTTCCAGTTTTGAGAATAATATCAAATCAAAAGGCAACAAAAGGTTAATCTAATCTATGCCAATTAAAAATGATTTAATTATTTCTATAAACTATTTGATATAATATATTATATTAAATATAATAGAATATTTAACAGTTTAACATAAAGTAGTTTAAAAATGAGTACATAATACTATAATAACCAATCGTCACATCATTTAAAAGTGTGGCGAACCTCACCCCATCGAAGTTAGGTGGTGAGAGTACTACCCACAGTCATTCTAGGAAGTGGACTCTGACCCTAGGACTGAACACATAGTATTTTCTTTGTTAAATAAAATTTGTAATCTAATTTTGTAAATTTGGGATTGCTTCAAATATGACATTAAAACAGGGTTTTATGTTGTTACAAGTGGTTTTTTAACATTATCTAGTATAGTAAAATCATGAGACCAATAAAAATTTGACGTTATATGAGGGTTTTGTTACATCCGATGACATTATAATCGGGTTAAATTGTATTATAATTTTGTTTTAAAAAAACTGCTTTGAATATCTGGTGTGCCACTTTAAGTTTTTTTGCAAGAATGTTTTAGAAAATTAAGCATAGTATCATTTTTTTAAGGCTATAACCATGAAGATGCAAAAACAGCAGCAAGTGTGAAGTTGATGGTGTTACTACTTTTGCAAAGCTTGTGAAGAATGAGAGATGTCACTCATATAATAAAAAATATTGCACTCACAGATATCTGACACTATTTGATTTTTATCACAGCTAGCAGTTTTCACTTTATACTATGCATGTGCAGTAATTCATTCTTATTTCATTTTTGAATTTATGTATATAATTCTTTAAGATATTTAAGCAAGAAGGGATAAACAACTTAACCATTGTAATTTAGATATTTTAATACAAGGATTGTCCCAAAAGTACTGACCTGACATATAGATGGCGGTAGTTTGAAAAAATTACTGTGGTCGAAAATATCAACCTTATAAAGTTTGAAGATGCTACATTGTTTAGTATTTGTTTGACAGCCATCAATAGTGAACAATCTCAGTGAATTTATAAACATGGAAAAAATTGGTCATTGTTATGTGATATAATACTTTCATTTGAAAGGTTTCAGTCCAACCAATATTAAAGGTGAGCTAGATTCTACTCTGGGTAGTCTACTCCCTCGTTTACAACAATAAAATATTGGGGGTGGCATTGTTTAAACAAGGCCATACGAGCTGCAAAGACGAACATTGCAGTGGTTGACAAAGTGAGATGACCACGCCAGAAATATTGAAAAAAATCCAGAAAATGGTATTGGATGACCATCGACTCAAAATGCGAGAGCTAACAGACATGGTAGGCATTTCAAAAACTGCTGTACATTGCATTTTGACTGAAAATTTGGACATGAGAAAGCTGTGCGCAAGATGGGTGCCATGTTTGCTCACAATGGAACAAAAACAGTGTCATGAGGATGTTTCAATCGAATGTTTGGCAATGTTTTGCAGCAACAAAGCCGAGTTTTTGCATCGATTCATAACCATGGATGAAACATAGGTACATCACTTTACACTTGAGATGAAAGAACAGTTGAAACAATGGACTGAAAGGGGAGAATCAGCTCCAAAAAAGGCGAAGACAGTTCCATCTGCTGGCAAGGTCACGGCGTCAGTTTTTTGGATGCGCATGGGATAATTTTCATTGATTATCTTCAAAAAGGAAAAACAATCAACAGCAAGTATTATGTGAACTTATTGCAGCACTTGAGTGATAAAATCAAGAAAAAAAAGGCGCAATTGGCAAAAAAAGAAAGTGTTGTTTCATCAAGACAGCGCACCAGTTCACACATCCGTTATTGCAATGGACAAAATCAGTGAGTTAAGGTTTGAATTGCTTCCTCATGCACCCTATTTGCCAGATTTAGCCCCCTCAGATTATTTTCTCTTTCCGAACTTGAAAAAATAGCTTGGTGGTAAAAGATTTGCCAACAATGAAGAGGTGGAGTCTGCGGTTGATGGCTATTTTGAGAAGCTCGACAGTTCTCACTATAAACAGGGTATCGAAGCTATTGAACATTGCTGGGAAAAGTGTATCAAGCTAAAAAAAGAGTATGTTGAAAAATAAAGATATGTTTTCCCAAATTTTTTGTGTCTTTGTTAGGTCAGGTACTTCTGCGACTACCCTTGTACCTAGGTAGAATAAAGTGGCAGAGGAACAAAATTAGGTGATAAGTTTGTTTAATCAAATTATTATTAGATTATTTTTTGTAAAGTAATATTTATGTAACAATCCTAAAAATATTGGTATATTTTTTGATGGTGATAAATACTGACATCAATTCATTTTCTTTTCTTTTTGAACATAAATGGAAAAACTTGCACTACTACATAATGATTTTAACAAGAACAAGAAAGGAGAATCATTTGCATTAATTTCATTTACTCCTTTACTGTTAATGATTGCCCTATGCATGGCCAATAGTCTAACTTTATATACATAAAAAAAGTAATCTTGAAATAAATAATTGTTAAAATTCTGCTGCCATTTTTAATCAAAAGGACTTGATTTTGACATTGATTTTTGAAATTTCTTTTTCAATAATAAAATTTTTCTTTCAATGTATTTTTATAACAGCAAATTTTATATAGAGGGTGTCTATAAAGTTCATGTGCACTTTTAAATATTAATAATTTTGGACTATACATGATAAAATTAATCAGTAGAAAACATTATTTCAAAACATTAATTCAAAAATGTATTTCAAAAATTGATTATTATTTTTCTTACCCATTATTATTTATTTATTTATTCCTGAAACTTCAAAATGGTTGTTTTCTTTTCAGAACTGTTATTGACCCATAATATCTCTAGAAGAGAAAGTAAACTGTGTTCTTTGGTTGGCTGAGCTGAAATCTGTCACTTCTGTCCAAAGAAGGGTCCATAGGTCAATAACAATTCTGAAAAGAAAACAGTCATTTTGAAGTTTTAAATAAATAATAAATAATAATGGGTAAGAAGAACAATAATCAATTTTTGAAATAATGAGAAAAAACTAGACACATCAGGCTTATAAATGTTTTTTACAGATTAATTCTANTCTTTTCAGAACTGTTATTGACCCATAATATCTCTAGAAGAGAAAGTAAACTGTGTTCTTTGGTTGGCTGAGCTGAAATCTGTCACTTCTGTCCAAAGAAGGGTCCATAGGTCAATAACAATTCTGAAAAGAAAACAGTCATTTTGAAGTTTTAAATAAATAATAAATAATAATGGGTAAGAAGAACAATAATCAATTTTTGAAATAATGAGAAAAAACTAGACACATCAGGCTTATAAATTTTTTTACAGATTAATTTTATTGTGTATAGTTCTAAAATTATTAATATTTAAAAGTGCACATGGACTTTATAGACATCCTGTAGTTAACCTGAAGTTTAATTATAAAGATTTAAAAACAATTTTTACATATATCATTAAACATACTTGTTTATTTAATTTAAACATTTATTTTTAATATTTTCATATATATATATATTTGCTAAACAGTTTCAAAAATATTAATAAATGAAAATAATGTTAATTTAAAGATATAAATATTTCTAAAAAATTATTTTAAGCTATATAGTTTACACATGCAATTCATAAAATACATTGTATAATCTTAAAAAGTTTTAATTAAAACTTATATAAATATAAAATATATATGTTTAGAACAGAGATACAGAAATTGTACCTTATCTTACTATGAGTAAAAGTGCACCAGTTGAAATAGCAAGCTCATTAACACAGTATTTTACAACAGCTTTCAAATGCTGGGATATATTGCATAGCAACAATCATTTAAAAAAAGGTTTGTAATATTTTATAATTTTCAATTGCACAATAAAAATATTAAAAAATTTTAATCTGAAAATTAAATAAATTTTTTTAAAGAAATAAATCGTTTAAGACAACATATACATATGGATGATTGGCCTTGGTTTCAAGACTTTCTTATCAACACATTAATATATCAAGTAAAATTTAAATTTCAGTTAAATAATTTTATAAGTTAATTTTCAATTATTGATTATCTTTAATTGTTAATATTAGGGTTCATATAAGGAAGCAATTGAAACATTGATGCATCATCATAGGCCACTTGCAAAGCAACATGTTATTGTAAGTTAATTATGTTTGATTAAATTTCTTTTATAAAAAGTTTTATATTAAAATTAATTATTTATTTACAGAATAAAAACAAAATTCAATTAGCAAGTTGTTTTTACTGTTTAGGAAATTTTGCAGTAAGTGTCTTTTTAATTAAATAAAATAGCACTATATATATGTAAAATATATAAAAATAAAAATATGTATATGATTAAATTTAGACTGCATGTGAGCACATGCTGGATGTAATTTCAACATTTTTAAATATGTCATCTTTATCATCTCAATGTGCTTTAGTTCATGACCAACAAATTCATCCAAGGAAATCAGGTATTATTTGCATAACTAAATATATTTATATTGATAAAAATGATATTAAAATATTGTGACATGTTCAATATTAAAATATTTTAGGTAGACATTTACATTTTATTTCTTATAAACCTGATGAAATCTTGCATCATTGTGTAAAACTATTAATTACATGTTTCAAAGTAAGTATATTATTATTTATACAGTTTTTTAACCTTATAAAATCTACTAATTAAATGAAAATACTAATGTGATTCTTTGATTAGGAAAATGCTTTTCATTCAACCATTAAAAATGATTTAGCAATTGGACATTTACTTGTTCTTGTTCAGCATGATTGGCCAAGGGAAGAACAGTTATTTCTCCAAATATTAGATGTTGTTAAAAAGCATGGAAGCTTCTGCTATGGTTTATTTTTTAGTTATATTATTAGTATCCTTTTATTAATTTATTTACATACAAAGAATGATTTATTCTTCATTTTTCTTTTCTAAATTTTCAATATCAACTGGAAGACACAAATGAAGGATACAAGATTTAAAATTAGTTTATATAAAATTAATCGATAAAATTATAGATAATAATTTTTAAAATATAGTCTTATTTTAAACAAAAATGTTAAGTATTTCTTATCTAATACTAGTCCCAGATATTTTAGAAGAATTTATGCATCTCACTACTGATAATGGTGGAAATGTTGATTTAGATTTACTTCCAAGTTCAACATTACAAGTAGGAAAGTAAGTCATTTGTTTATAATCAGATATATACATAAGTTTAAAATAAAATAAGTTTGAAATGATTTAATTAATTGAATTTAATTAGGCAAAGGGCTGTTACAAGAGGAGTAAATAAAGGTGCCAAAGAAGATCTTAAATCTGCAATGGAAAGACAAATGTCTCGAAGTGATGAAAATCTCAATCAATTATTAGTACAGTTTTTTAAACAAGAAAGGGACATAATTAAAGAAACATTAATGTAATTATTTTTCATGTATGAAATAAAAAAGTTTTAAACTCAATGAGTTTCATTTCAAGTTTTTTTAATATTAAATTCAAAATCTACAAATTAAGTAAATAATAATTAATTATTAATAATAGCACTAAAATTAGTCCAGTTTGCTACAGTGGTTGTTTGGTTAAAGACATAAGGCTTTGAGATGTATCTATAAGTAAATAAATAATTCATAATATAAGAATGCAATTTATTAATTTTCTATTATTTACTTTTTACACAATTCATGAATCCTTAGGTAATATGAATTATTTAAACTATATTCAAATTTAGATTAAATTCAATTAATTTAATTTAATTTAATTTTTTCTTCCTCTTAAAGTTGCCATATAAATGTGTATATCATGTTTTATTCATAAATATCCTAGCATTTTATTTATAGATAAAATTAATAAAAATTAAATTTTCAAAATTATGAAAGCTTTTAATATCTAATTAATTATTCATAAAAATATGATTTTAAATCAATGATATAAAATTATGAAAGAGAATAAAAAATATTAGTGTTCTATTTTGGATAATAAAATATAAATGGTAAGTAATAATTTCTATAAGAATTGAAAAGAAAAAAATGTCATTCAATTAATATTTTTCAAATATAATTGATTAAAGTTAAAATAAATCATCGAAGCTGTCACGAAGCTGGTGGCCAAACTGCAACTGTTGTGCTGCAAGTGGCTCTTCTAGATCCCTACAGTGCTCCCATATAGCTTACTTTCTATTTATAAACAAAACAGTATTACATATATAAAGTTTAATAGAGTATGCCACACTGGCATGTTTCTGATAAGCAATATATGGCTCCTATTGTGACAAGGTTTGCCCTCCCTGTTATATTTTATATACATTGATTCTGTTTCTGGATTTGGGGTTGCACTTTATGTATAATTTCTTTCTGTTATTGAGGGGTTAAGTTGAATTTCTTGTTCATTTTGTTTACCCTGAAAAAGTTATGTTCTTAGTTCCTGGTTAGCAGCTTTTATTCTGTTCAGGCAGTTCTGTTTGGCTGAGTTTTTTTGGAAGCTTTAATCAGATTTGTTTGAAGATGCTTGTTTATTTTTCTATTATGTATGTTAGATACTAGGAGGAATAGGTTTTTTTTTTTTTCATTAGGGCTTAAGTAATAATTAGTTTATTTTTTTTATTTTTTTAAACTAAATATTAGTTATGCATTTATTAATATATTTAGTTTTATAGTTTATTTTTCTATAGCCCAGATTATTTAAACTGAAAACAGAATTTTAAAAATTTGCGTTGAGATTACAAATAATTTAGAGCATAGATTTTTCTGTGTAAGCAAAGGGAAAAAAAATGTCTGCAGAACCGTTGCTATTCTACACAAATATAGGATCGATCGGAATATTTTCATAAATATTATTCTCAGTCAGATGGATAGAATCATACTAAAATGTTTTGACAACTTGAGCCGATGATATACTGTATCGGTTAGTGATGGCAAGCATTTCAATTTTTTCCAATATATATTTTCTTTATATTTATTCAATTTCGGAAAATCCAACACAAAATAAAAAAATCGTCGAAAGAAAGATGCGTAATGAATAATTATTGCGATTAACTTAAATTGGTAATATATAAATAAAGAACTTTATATAAAAATCGTTATAAAATGCAGATTAATTAAAACGTCGTTATCTATTAACAAATATATTGGATTCTTGTTAATTCGGCCATCCCTTATACAGAGGGGAGCCGGATTATTGAGAGCGTGTAGGCCTAAAGCCGGCAAATGACGTCACCTGTCGCCCTTCCGTACCGATTCTTTTTGGAGGCGGCGGCCAAATAATCGTCTTCGGCACGCTAAAATGCAATACTCTATACAGAAACGGAACCCGAATAATACAAGACTTGCCACATAACTAACATATTTGTGGAAATGGAAGAGGTGCGTAGACGATCGCGGGGTATGTCGGATTATCGAGGGACGGATTAGCGAATGTGTGTTGTCCTTAAATTTCGTTTAAACTTCCTTTTCAAAGAGAATTTATATATATATAGTATACGCGCGATGACATATGGCGTATAATGACCTAACTCTATTGAATAATAAACAGAAAAGAGGAAGTTCCACATCGCTGCTTTATAGCTGCTATATCTCTTACATTCTTCATCTATCCCAAAGGTAAATTCAGCAAAATTACTTTAAATATTTACATACCATTTTCCCCCTTTCGTTTTCAAAAATAAAAAATAATATAAAAAAAAAGTCGTGAATGTAGCAGACGGATAAAACTTTCACTTGCTCCTCCCACAATTTTTTTTCTTATATTTTAATTAAAAAAAAAACATATATATATATATATATATATATATGTTGCCATGACAACCTACCTGGCGTTTGCGCACCAATCTGGATGCGAGTACAAGCGAGGTTTTGGCATTTAAAAGGTTGCTCAGAAATATAAACCGAATAGTTGTTATATATAATATTGGTAAGTATTTAATTAATATACATATATAATATGAATTTTACTTTGATTATATCTATGTAATACAAATTGTGTATTACTATTCACCGCTTTCTTCCATACTCTAACCATATGTTGCATTTGTTTATGTAATAAAACTATTTGTTTTTATTACTAATGTCGAAACGACATCGATTATTTTTATTTCTTCTCTTAGGAATATTTTACTCCATTTTAATACATCACGATGTTTAAAAATTGGACTTTATTAATTTGTTTTTTATGGTGCGAATCGTTGATTATCGCAATACCGCTAAAAAATAACGAAAATACAGACAATTCCCTCGATAAAGGTAATTTGAAATCGTTTTTTTAAAAATATTCTAATTGGTTAGAAACAAACAATAGCGACGTCATAACATTTAATTACGTAACGACGCTGTTAATTTTCAAACTTTAAGTTTTAATATCTTTATCTTATGAATAAAATTTATTATAACTTTATTTTTATGTAGAAAAAGGTTCTCAAGAAGATATTATGTTCGGCAATCAACAAAATAAGCCCGCAGGGATGGTAGATGACAGCCTTTCTTTTCCAGAAATGACTGAAGATAACTCATCTGCATCTGACGGTAAACAGATGTTTCATTCGTAAAATTAAATTAAATTTCCACGTTTTGATAGTTTCTAAACTTAAATTTTAGGAGATAAATCGAGTCAGAATACAGATAAGCAAATGGATAAAGAAGAAGAAAACGCAGAGGAGTTAGGAAGAAGAAACTTTCCCATTCGTAAGATAATCTATTGGTTTTTTTTCCTGTGATAAAAGTAGCTTTTTTTAAAATAAAAAAAAACAAGCAAGTGTTTTATTTCAGCGGCGAACTCTCTTATCGATTATTATCCTGTTTATGAAAATGATGAAACGATATTCAGAAAAAAACGCAGGTCTGTCCCGGTGGAAATCAGAAACAAAATCGAGGACCTGTTGAATGAAAGACAACATCAACGCTTAAGAATCAAAAGACAATCAGATATTCTCAATTGGTTAAGAAACTTAGAATCTGATGATAATCCACGTTATTTTCAAACTGATGACGTGAGTTTTTTAATTAAATTTTCCGTATGTCGAAGAATGATTTAACGCTTACATTGTTCGATTTTTATTTCGAAATTCTTTTAGAAAACAGAATAAAGTCAATTTAATGTGTTAACTAGTTTCAGTAGTCATTAGTAAACTGATCAATAAAATCAATTTAATATATAAAGGTATAGATTTTTGGATTTAAAAGTATTTAATTGAGAAATTTTGTTTATTTGTGGATTTAAGCGTTAATTTAGCGGCTCCTGTTTCATAAAATTTTCTCATTGTTTTTACTTCAATTTGTAAAGGATTATTTAAGATTTTGCAGTTTGTCGTATCAATAGGCAAGATAATAATGAAAATTATTCGTACGTATAAGCTTATTTAATGTGTTAATTGCATGTTGATCCACATTTGCCGTTTTAAAGAGCAAAATAAACAACAATTTAATTTGTTTCGTATAAACTAAATATAATACATTTAAAAAAAAACCTTAAATATTTTTTGTTCGTGTTTTCAAATATCTTATGAAAATAATCATTTATTTAATTATTTATTATTTAGGAAGGCAGCCTAAATGAGGATGATTCTATTCCGCTTCGTTATTACGTGATGGAAGAAAATGAACAGCCATATGCAGAAGCAGATTCTTTAGACGATTTTCTTACATTAAATAAATATCCCAAACACTTATTCGCCTCTTCAAAGAAAGAACCTCCATTAGAGTACAATCTTAACAATATTTTATTACCAATGAAAGATATTATGTGGATGAAACAAAATGGCGCAAAAATAGCTCCATCTCTATATCGAAGACGTCCTCTCACCGTAAATGACGATGCCTCTCCCGAGTATGATGATTACAGTATTTACGACTTTTTAAATCAACACGAAAGAGATATTCCTAGAGATCTATAAAAAGTTTGTTATATGTTTAATCAAATTATTAAAATATTTGGCTTTTATTTTATTAACATATAATATTTTTCCCTTTTCAGACTCCACTTTTACTCAAGAAATGCTTAAAAATTGCTGTGAATCCCACCAATTGAATTATGTTTATTTTTAATTTATATATAACTTAATTATTTATCACAAATTCCATCTTCCTACTTAAAAACTCCTCATATCAATATTTATAAAAGAAAATAAATATACAAATATTTACACAAATGCTTTATTGATTTTTATTTTATGAAAGATTTTAATTTTTTATATATATTACCATTGCTATATTATATATATGTAAAGTATTATTGTTGTTTTAACCATGACCAAATATTGTTACTCCTATAAAATTTGATGTTTCCTATATTATGATAATCGAATAAATTATTTACAGTTAAAATTATTGTGTAGATTTATTCAGAATGAATATTTATGTGAATAATAAAATTCCAAGCATTCTTATCATAAGAAGACACATGATTTTTTTTCCTCTTCTCTGGTAATTGATAATTATCAATGAAACATATTTTACTATAAAATTGAATAAATATGTAAATTTTATGTGGAGCTACTTTCACAGATTGTATTTCAATTAGTAGAAATTCACTAATAGCTAAAGATAGTTTTGAAAGCACGACAGCTATGAATGCAATGATAACGGTGAAATGTTCCTTAATGCACTTAAATGGTAATTATTTTCATTCACTATAAGAATAAATTCATTAAATTTAAATATTTAAGACATTCTACCAAAACATATTAAAATCTGTAGTTAATAAATTGTAAAAGCTATTCCTATATTAGCTCATAGTATACAGAATTNGTAAAAATCAATTCTTATTATTAAAAAAAAAGACAAATATTTTTATTTAAGAAATAACGAAAGAGAATTATTTTTTAATAAATTTTTTTTGTAAATATTTTAATAATAAGTTACAACAAATTAATATTTTATTAAGGAGTAGATAGAAATAAACTAAATATTGATCCAGTTATCGGAAATACTCGTACCCTGACTTTAATCCCGAAATGCGTTGCGCTTATCATAAGTGCGCATGTGTAGTTGGTGATTGCTGTTAGGTTGTGATTTGTGTTGAAGTCCAGAATGTAGGATATTATAAAAGGAGATTGTTTCGTTTGTAAATTGTTAAATTGTAATGTTTTTGATGGTATTTAACATCCTAATATATAAATAATAGTCCAAGTGGAAAGACATATCGTTAGTATGTACTAGTAGTACGCTGTAAATATATAATATATACTTTAATATATATGTATGTTGGGAATGTGTTAGGCACTGTTTAGAAGTTTTCAATTAATTTTTTTTTCAAGTTTGTATCTCCGTTTTGTTAAATAATGTTTTGGTTAAATCGGAGTTTATATTTGTTAATTGAACTGTTAAAATTCGATTTGTTAAGAGTTAAGCATGAACACTTACTGATTCCAACTTAAGCCAAAAGAAACAAGAATTTAACATCCACTGATCAAATTATGCCTTTTTTTGTATGAATCTCTGTTGGATATTTTCCTCCCTTTTTTAGACACTTTTCTAAAGTATGCACTTGCACTTTGAGAGAACATTCACGGCTCGTACCGACTGTACCATCTTGTCGTTGACTTGGATGGGAAAGATTCCCGAAGAGATTCCCGATGACGAAGAATGGAGAGCGAGTCCGTATAATTATTACCAGGACGGATGGTTGGGTACCGGAAATGCTAGAGGTATCGTCGGTATCACGTTCACCACGTGCGACTGCAGAAAGAATACTGAAGTACCGTCGAGAGCAAATTTTAACTTGAGGGGACACCATTCCAAGGTTTGTATCCCGTTTATTTGCATTGCCGTCAATTACAGATTTTGAAATTCCATTGATAACCAAAAAGAATTATAGGCAAAATTATAAATATTCATTTTAATGCAAATGTAGATTTGTTGTTACATCTGTGATATTATTACGGCTTAGTTTGAGCAAATTTATTGAAAAAATTATTTTTGAAACAAATTTGCAAAAGTAAACCAATAATGTGTATGTCTCGTATAGTTTTTTCCAATTCCACAATTTTTAAAATAAACTGCAAAAATTCCAAGTTTTAAGATCTCGGATTAATGGTTAATTCAATCAGAAGATAAAAATCTGAAATATCTAAAGCTTAAACTTTTATCGAGCAGTTTTAAAAAAATGTTTTTGGTATTTGTCTACTTCAAAATTAGTTTTTTTATATACTACAAATTCTATATTTTGTTATTAAAATGAAAATTCAGAAAACAAAACAAAGAAAAAAACAAATTTATTTCAAGTATTTCCATTGATTTTTATGGCGACTTGTAGTTTGTAACATAATCCATATGCATACATTGAGTTATGAACTACAAGTTAAAATTAAAATCGATGAAAATTTAGAACTTTTTCAGTTAATTTCTAACTTTATATCATAGAAAAATAAATAGTCTTAACCATACAAATATTATTTAATAAATGTTTAATTATTTTCAATTTCATATTATATCACTTAGTTTCTGAGGATGGAATGATGTGTTATTTTAAAGTAATAAAATATTTAGAAAGACTTTTACTTAATGTATTTAGAAGTAATAAGTGAACAATTTTTGTTTTTGTTTTTTTTTATTTATCAATAGTTAGCTAATTGAATTTATTATTTCTATATATATTTTTCATATGTAGAATTATTTTGCTTTATATATTTGCATGATAAATGCATATTATAGAATTAATAATTGATTTAAAAATCTTTTCTCGAGTCATCATTTAATAATAATAATAATAATAATAATGTAAATCTCTATAACTAATTTTATCTGAATTTAATTTCAGATAAAATTAGTTTTTCATAGTCCATTGATCAATTCATACAGTTCAAACCAAGTTATATTTAGCCTAAAACATTGGTTCAGGAATAATTGTACTGTTTGGATACTAAAATGAATAAATGTATCGTGCAAGTAAAAATATATAAGAAAAATGTATGTATGTATATATAACTAACCTTAGTGATGAGCTGATCAATAAAAAGTGAAAGCTATCAGATAATATTTAGAAAGGTTTGTAAATAATTTTATTAAAGGTTAGTTCATGCATGACATTAGTAAAACAATTATATATTGATAGAATATCTGATGATTGTTATAAAAATAGTTTTAACACAGATTTTCCTTGAAGTATGAAAATATTCAATAGATACTTGAGAACAAACAAAAAAGATCAAAATGAAAAATCAAATTTGCAATGTTATTTTAAATTAAGTCATTAAAATATTAAAACATAAAATAAGGATTATATCAAAAATTAAAGATGCATTCTTCTATTGATAAAAAAATCACTATAACTCTGCCAGAGATAGTTCTTTGATTTTTTTCATTAAAAAAAAAATTATATTATTAAAATTTCAGAGATACTTAATTATGTTGTAATTTTTCTATAACATAACAAAATTAGCAGGAAGTATTTTTAGCAGTCAAATCATTATTATTGGTATGAATGGTGAATGACTAATTAGTAACAAGCAAGAACAGAGAATTCTTCATTGCATTATTATTGCATTTTGTATTATTTTCTTTGTTTGTCATGGATGACTTATCCTTCTGTATAAAAGAGATGCCAACAGTGTGAATTAATGTCTGGAACATAAATTAGTTTCTGATGTAATTATAGTTGATGAAAATTTGATATTTCTTTAAAACACTAAGGATTTGAGTTATTGGTCTTTTGATTTACAGTTTAAGATAGGTAATAGTCTCTAGAAAACCATGTCTTAATATATCATTTAAGTCTAAATCTAATAATAATATATATGGAGTAGTTCATTTTTAACACTTTACTTGAATAACTTGAAAAATAAATATTGTACGAAAAAATTCATTGAATGAAATATGTTAGATTTCAAGGAGTCCATAAGATGGCACCAATTGGTTTCATTTATGATGAAACCAATTGGTAGAAATGGAGTCAACTTCATTTTTTATTATGTATTATGATTCTAGATAAAAAACAAACTTTTATCTGAAATGTTTTTTCTGAAAGATGCACTTATCAGAAGTTATGAGCATTTGAACTTTTACATGGCTGTCCCTGAACTCCACAGATATTCACAGATGACACCACCATGTATGCATGTATCTGTGGATATCTGTGAAGTTCATTGAAAAAGGAAGAAAAATTATTAGAAACTATTATTATTTGGAGGAATCATTCTTTTTCTTCAAATAATTAACTGATACAAAAAGTTGTGCCACTGTGTGTTAAAGCCAGCAAGCTTGTGTGTTTTGTTGATTTTTAAAATTTATCCTCAAGCTCAGCTTGAGGTCTCCTTAGATTTTTTTCATACATTTTTCATGTTAATAAAAATTAACACAAAAGAAATCTTAACAATTTTGGAGTAATAAATTTTTTATAGGATGTATATTTTTCAAGTTATTTCAGTGGATTTATTAAAATGAACCACCCTGTATCATAGAAAGTTCTAAATTTCGTATAATCTTTATTACATAAAATTTTAAATTTATTATTACATAATTATTCAGTTTTTTTTTTATTTAACTGAAAATATTTATTTTTGAAAGAGTAGACTTTGAATTCAATTTTTTAAATTGTTCTGTGTAAAAACTTCACATTCTTTTTAATTAATACAATATCAATATTGTCTCGAAATGGTTTCAAATTATGTATAATATTATTTATATTATTTTTACTGTTTTTTTTAAATGTGTAAAGTATTTTAATATATTACCAAATGGATTTGTTGGATTATTTATCAGGCTATATTAAGGCTAACTTAATAATTATTATACATGTAATTTGGCTAGAAGTCTAGCAGATCATTTTGCAATACTAATTGAATTGGGTTGTTATATATATTATTTTTATATAAATGTATTTTTATAAAAAATTATCTACAATAAAATTTAATTGTAGATAATTTTTTTAATATTTGATCATTATGTAATAGTGGGTTCTGGTAAAAAAGGACAAAATTGTCATCTTACTAAAGATGTTGCTCTCAAATAACAGGAATATTTGGTTGGAGATCAGTAGCTACAATAGATGATCTCCAATCTCTGGTATCTGAGTGCAATGGTGCCAATGGCATGATGACTGGTATTGCATTGTGAATTTGGATGAGCCCAGTTCAGTTTAATCAGTGGCTAAACCCTGAACAATGCAAACCAATCACTTTACAAAGTTTAAGAAATAGGACCAAGATAAGTAAAGTTATTTTCATTATATTTTAATGGATTAATTCAGTAAATTATTCTATAACTCATCTTTAATTAAAAGTAATGATATTTAAATTTGCTCAATATATTTTTTAATATATCAAGCAAATTTAAGTTTATTATANCTCTGGTAATTGATAATTATCAATGAAACATATTTTACTATAAAATTGAATAAATATGTAAATTTTATGTGGAGCTACTTTCACAGATTGTATTTCAATTAGTAGAAATTCACTAATAGCTAAAGATAGTTTTGAAAGCACGACAGCTATGAATGCAATGATAACGGTGAAATGTTCCTTAATGCACTTAAATGGTAATTATTTTCATTCACTATAAGAATAAATTCATTAAATTTAAATATTTAAGACATTCTACCAAAACATATTAAAATCTGTAGTTAATAAATTGTAAAAGCTATTCCTATATTAGCTCATAGTATACAGAATTTATTGATTTTTCTAAATTTTCCTTCCTTCCTTTTTATCTAAGTAAATTCGGATTTGAAAATTGCATTCTATTCCGAATGCTTTAATCTCAAATAATTTTGTTAAAAATGTGTGTTTGTTAAGGAAAATATAAAATTGAAAAATATTGTAAGGTAAAGAAACTCAATGTTAGAGGCATAAGAATGTATTGTGTGGAAGTTTTTAGGTATATTTTTAATACAGAATATAAGAAAAAATTCTAAAAAAATTTTAAAAATAAGAACATATACAAATTTATAAAATAAAATTATAAATTAACATTTTATTATTATACTTAATATTACAAAAAAGTCATAAATTCTTACATGATCGGATTAAATTCGTTAGTTTAACTTCCCGGCAATGTTGCTTCTCTGTAATATCGCAAAAGGTTAAGGAAAAGTTTCAAATTACGGAATTAAATGCTTGATCATAAAATTCTAACTTTAGTTCGTTTTTTAATGTATTAATTTATTAATCAAAAATTTTTTTCTAAAAAAACAAGCATTTTTAAAGACAAAATTTTAATATACGGGATTTTTTAAATCGAAATCTGTTGAAAAATACCGTATAAATGTGGTAATAGCATTCCTGTTTTGCATTTGAAAGATAATCAAGTTGTCACGCATACAATCTTATTAGTTTTAAAAAGTTTGAAAGAGATTTTTAGATTCTTTTTTTCCTATAAATTTTATAACAAAACAATAAAATTTATATTAATATTTAACATAAGTAATATTTATAAATTCGTTTAAACTAAATTTATTTTATCACGTAATTTTAAAAACCTTTCATGTACTAACTTATTTATAATTGCTGCAAGCTGATGTTTAGATATTCTTCGACGTTAATAACCATTTTGTCAACTTGTGCATAATTATATAATATTCTGTAGACTTACATAATTAGGATATTATTTAATAAAACATTTAACCTATAAATAAGCGTAACGAATTTACTTCATTTGATGAAAATACATTTAATGAAAGATATTGACGATCGGTACATATTAACTTAAGTTTTTCTACCAATGAATAAATAATTATCTAAGGTTTGAATATTTTATAATGATGAGTCTCCGTGGTAAAATCAACTCACTTAACATGTTTCTGTATAAATTATAATTTAATTCTTCAGTTATGCATTTTCATGAAATGGTATTTAAACAAACTGAATGGAGAAATTTTGTTTTAAATGTAAATACAGTTTAAATCTACATTCTTCCATCAATAATTACAAGAGTTGACCTTTTATTTAACAGTAAATTTAGATTTAAAAGTGTTTTAAAATACGCCGTACGAATTAGTTTAATATAATTTTTTTTTTAAAAGTTACTTTAAAATTAATCGGAAAACAAATTATATTTATCCATTTTCAAACATTTTTATCAATTAAATATTCGAAAATCGTATCAAAATTGATTTTTAATACAAATTTTGTATAATTTAATAATTATTAAAGTTTAAAACTATTAAATTAGATTCTAAAAAAATCATTATCAAATTAATTTGAATAAACTGACTAAATGACCACTAAGAGCAGCGAAATTTTTTTTTCAAGGTGAAGGCTCCACTAAGAGTCCTCACCATGGGTTCTATGATATACAGTAGTTCTCAACAGGTGTTTTTCATGTCTCTCGCGATCCCGACACGTATTCTTCTCGTTTCCTTGTGGGTGGTTACATTATATAATTGACTTATATTTATTAAAATATAATTTGTTTTATCACGTAATTTTAAAAACCTTTCATGTACTAACTTATTTATAATTGCTGCAAGCTGATGTTTAGATATTCTTCGACGTTAATAACCATTTTGTCAACTTGTGCATAATTATATAATATTCTGTAGACTTACATAATTAGGATATTATTTAATAAAACATTTAACCTATAAATAAGCGTAACGAATTTACTTCATTTGATGAAAATACATTTAATGAAAGATATTGACGATCGGTACATATTAACTTAAGTTTTTCTACCAATGAATAAATAATTATCTAAGGTTTGAATATTTTATAATGATGAGTCTCCGTGGTAAAATCAACTCACTTAACATGTTTCTGTATAAATTATAATCTAATTCTTCAGTTATGCATTTTCATGAAATGGTATTTAAACAAACTGAATGGAGAAATTTTGTTTTAAATGTAAATACAGTTTAAATCTACATTCTTCCATCAATAATTACAAGAGTTGACCTTTTATTTAACAGTAAATTTAGATTTAAAAGTGTTTTAAAATACGCCGTACGAATTAGTTTAATATAATTTTTTTTTAAAAAGTTACTTTAAAATTAATCGGAAAACAAATTATATTTATCCATTTTCAAACATTTTTATCAATTAAATATTCAAAAATCGTATCAAAATTGATTTTTAATACAATTTTTGTATAATTTAATAATTATTAAAGTTTAAAACTATTAAATTAGATTCTAAAAAAATTATTATCAAATTAATTTGAATAAACTGACTAAATGACCACTAAGAGCAGCGAAATTTTTTTTTCAAGGTGAAGGCTCCACTAAGAGTCCTCACCATGGGTTCTATGATATACAGTAGTTCTCAACAGGTGTTTTTCATGTCTCTCGCGATCCCGACACGTATTCTTCTCGTTTCCTTGTGGGTGGTTACATTATATAATTGACTTATATTTATTAAAATAATTACGAATAACTTAATAACAAAGTTATTAAGTTAATTGGATACAATGAATATATGTATATATATATTTAATCTTTCCTTTAAATAAAATAAATTTATGGCGAATCTTTAAAGCATGTTAATTTATGTTATTGATTTATTATGATTATTGGATAATGCAAAATTGATCCGAAAAAACTTTGATCAAAGTTCGTAAACCGAACTGTAGACTAATCGAGATTTTAAAATAACTTTTTAAATTTGAAATTAAATTCCGAACTAAACTAAAATTCTATTGGTTAACTCTAATATAAGAAGAATTAAGCATTTCGTTAATTAGTCGCTAGTTAGATAACGTCATCGACGATATTACAAATTTTTAAGTTAATAATAACAATAATAATAACAATAATAGTTATAATTTTTACGAAATAAAAAATAAGTTAAAATTTTAATTAAATAATTTATATTCTATATTCTGTTGTATGTCGTAAAAATCAATTCTTATTATTAAAAAAAAAGACAAATATTTTTATTTAAGAAATAACGAAAGAGAATTATTTTTTAATAAATTTTTTTTGTAAATATTTTAATAATAAGTTACAACAAATTAATATTTTATTAAGGAGTAGATAGAAATAAACTAAATATTGATCCAGTTATCGGAAATACTCGTACCCTGACTTTAATCCCGAAATGCGTTGCGCTTATCATAAGTGCGCATGTGTAGTTGGTGATTGCTGTTAGGTTGTGATTTGTGTTGAAGTCCAGAATGTAGGATATTATAAAAGGAGATTGTTTCGTTTGTAAATTGTTAAATTGTAATGTTTTTGATGGTATTTAACATCCTAATATATAAATAATAGTCCAAGTGGAAAGACATATCGTTAGTATGTACTAGTAGTACGCTGTAAATATATAATATATACTTTAATATATATGTATGTTGGGAATGTGTTAGGCACTGTTTAGAAGTTTTCAATTAATTTTTTTTTCAAGTTTGTATCTCCGTTTTGTTAAATAATGTTTTGGTTAAATCGGAGTTTATATTTGTTAATTGAACTGTTAAAATTCGATTTGTTAAGAGTTAAGCATGAACACTTACTGATTCCAACTTAAGCCAAAAGAAACAAGAATTTAACATCCACTGATCAAATTATGCCTTTTTTTGTATGAATCTCTGTTGGATATTTTCCTCCCTTTTTTAGACACTTTTCTAAAGTATGCACTTGCACTTTGAGAGAACATTCACGGCTCGTACCGACTGTACCATCTTGTCGTTGACTTGGATGGGAAAGATTCCCGAAGAGATTCCCGATGACGAAGAATGGAGAGCGAGTCCGTATAATTATTACCAGGACGGATGGTTGGGTACCGGAAATGCTAGAGGTATCGTCGGTATCACGTTCACCACGTGCGACTGCAGAAAGAATACTGAAGTACCGTCGAGAGCAAATTTTAACTTGAGGGGACACCATTCCAAGGTTTGTATCCCGTTTATTTGCATTGCCGTCAATTACAGATTTTGAAATTCCATTGATAACCAAAAAGAATTATAGGCAAAATTATAAATATTCATTTTAATGCAAATGTAGATTTGTTGTTACATCTGTGATATTATTACGGCTTAGTTTGAGCAAATTTATTGAAAAAATTATTTTTGAAACAAATTTGCAAAAGTAAACCAATAATGTGTATGTCTCGTATAGTTTTTTCCAATTCCACAATTTTTAAAATAAACTGCAAAAATTCCAAGTTTTAAGATCTCGGATTAATGGTTAATTCAATCAGAAGATAAAAATCTGAAATATCTAAAGCTTAAACTTTTATCGAGCAGTTTTAAAAAAATGTTTTTGGTATTTGTCTACTTCAAAATTAGTTTTTTTATATACTACAAATTCTATATTTTGTTATTAAAATGAAAATTCAGAAAACAAAACAAAGAAAAAAACAAATTTATTTCAAGTATTTCCATTGATTTTTATGGCGACTTGTAGTTTGTAACATAATCCATATGCATACATTGAGTTATGAACTACAAGTTAAAATTAAAATCGATGAAAATTTAGAACTTTTTCAGTTAATTTCTAACTTTATATCATAGAAAAATAAATAGTCTTAACCATACAAATATTATTTAATAAATGTTTAATTATTTTCAATTTCATATTATATCACTTAGTTTCTGAGGATGGAATGATGTGTTATTTTAAAGTAATAAAATATTTAGAAAGACTTTTACTTAATGTATTTAGAAGTAATAAGTGAACAATTTTTGTTTTTGTTTTTTTTTATTTATCAATAGTTAGCTAATTGAATTTATTATTTCTATATATATTTTTCATATGTAGAATTATTTTGCTTTATATATTTGCATGATAAATGCATATTATAGAATTAATAATTGATTTAAAAATCTTTTCTCGAGTCATCATTTAATAATAATAATAATAATAATAATGTAAATCTCTATAACTAATTTTATCTGAATTTAATTTCAGATAAAATTAGTTTTTCATAGTCCATTGATCAATTCATACAGTTCAAACCAAGTTATATTTAGCCTAAAACATTGGTTCAGGAATAATTGTACTGTTTGGATACTAAAATGAATAAATGTATCGTGCAAGTAAAAATATATAAGAAAAATGTATGTATGTATATATAACTAACCTTAGTGATGAGCTGATCAATAAAAAGTGAAAGCTATCAGATAATATTTAGAAAGGTTTGTAAATAATTTTATTAAAGGTTAGTTCATGCATGACATTAGTAAAACAATTATATATTGATAGAATATCTGATGATTGTTATAAAAATAGTTTTAACACAGATTTTCCTTGAAGTATGAAAATATTCAATAGATACTTGAGAACAAACAAAAAAGATCAAAATGAAAAATCAAATTTGCAATGTTATTTTAAATTAAGTCATTAAAATATTAAAACATAAAATAAGGATTATATCAAAAATTAAAGATGCATTCTTCTATTGATAAAAAAATCACTATAACTCTGCCAGAGATAGTTCTTTGATTTTTTTCATTAAAAAAAAAATTATATTATTAAAATTTCAGAGATACTTAATTATGTTGTAATTTTTCTATAACATAACAAAATTAGCAGGAAGTATTTTTAGCAGTCAAATCATTATTATTGGTATGAATGGTGAATGACTAATTAGTAACAAGCAAGAACAGAGAATTCTTCATTGCATTATTATTGCATTTTGTATTATTTTCTTTGTTTGTCATGGATGACTTATCCTTCTGTATAAAAGAGATGCCAACAGTGTGAATTAATGTCTGGAACATAAATTAGTTTCTGATGTAATTATAGTTGATGAAAATTTGATATTTCTTTAAAACACTAAGGATTTGAGTTATTGGTCTTTTGATTTACAGTTTAAGATAGGTAATAGTCTCTAGAAAACCATGTCTTAATATATCATTTAAGTCTAAATCTAATAATAATATATATGGAGTAGTTCATTTTTAACACTTTACTTGAATAACTTGAAAAATAAATATTGTACGAAAAAATTCATTGAATGAAATATGTTAGATTTCAAGGAGTCCATAAGATGGCACCAATTGGTTTCATTTATGATGAAACCAATTGGTAGAAATGGAGTCAACTTCATTTTTTATTATGTATTATGATTCTAGATAAAAAACAAACTTTTATCTGAAATGTTTTTTCTGAAAGATGCACTTATCAGAAGTTATGAGCATTTGAACTTTTACATGGCTGTCCCTGAACTCCACAGATATTCACAGATGACACCACCATGTATGCATGTATCTGTGGATATCTGTGAAGTTCATTGAAAAAGGAAGAAAAATTATTAGAAACTATTATTATTTGGAGGAATCATTCTTTTTCTTCAAATAATTAACTGATACAAAAAGTTGTGCCACTGTGTGTTAAAGCCAGCAAGCTTGTGTGTTTTGTTGATTTTTAAAATTTATCCTCAAGCTCAGCTTGAGGTCTCCTTAGATTTTTTTCATACATTTTTCATGTTAATAAAAATTAACACAAAAGAAATCTTAACAATTTTGGAGTAATAAATTTTTTATAGGATGTATATTTTTCAAGTTATTTCAGTGGATTTATTAAAATGAACCACCCTGTATCATAGAAAGTTCTAAATTTCGTATAATCTTTATTACATAAAATTTTAAATTTATTATTACATAATTATTCAGTTTTTTTTTTATTTAACTGAAAATATTTATTTTTGAAAGAGTAGACTTTGAATTCAATTTTTTAAATTGTTCTGTGTAAAAACTTCACATTCTTTTTAATTAATACAATATCAATATTGTCTCGAAATGGTTTCAAATTATGTATAATATTATTTATATTATTTTTACTGTTTTTTTTAAATGTGTAAAGTATTTTAATATATTACCAAATGGATTTGTTGGATTATTTATCAGGCTATATTAAGGCTAACTTAATAATTATTATACATGTAATTTGGCTAGAAGTCTAGCAGATCATTTTGCAATACTAATTGAATTGGGTTGTTATATATATTATTTTTATATAAATGTATTTTTATAAAAAATTATCTACAATAAAATTTAATTGTAGATAATTTTTTTAATATTTGATCATTATGTAATAGTGGGTTCTGGTAAAAAAGGACAAAATTGTCATCTTACTAAAGATGTTGCTCTCAAATAACAGGAATATTTGGTTGGAGATCAGTAGCTACAATAGATGATCTCCAATCTCTGGTATCTGAGTGCAATGGTGCCAATGGCATGATGACTGGTATTGCATTGTGAATTTGGATGAGCCCAGTTCAGTTTAATCAGTGGCTAAACCCTGAACAATGCAAACCAATCACTTTACAAAGTTTAAGAAATAGGACCAAGATAAGTAAAGTTATTTTCATTATATTTTAATGGATTAATTCAGTAAATTATTCTATAACTCATCTTTAATTAAAAGTAATGATATTTAAATTTGCTCAATATATTTTTTAATATATCAAGCAAATTTAAGTTTATTATAGTTTGAAACAATAAAATACATGAAAGATCAACAAGTATAAGAAATTTTGAAAGCAAAGTCATTTCAATAGTGAAATATTTCATTTGATTTCTTTTACCAATAACTCTACACTTTATATACTTTTCCAGCAATATTTTAATTAAAACAAATGTTTTCGACCCTGTTCAGAGGTCTGTCTCAGGTTAAAAATGTATAAATTACAAATTAAAGAAAAAAAGAAACTGAGTTCTAACAGTTTATTTCAAATTTACAACATTCAAAAACCTTCAAAAACTAACGACATACGTATTTAAAAATTTGACACAAATAATTTACATATTAAAATGAAAACATAATTGTGTACTGGCACAATGAAGTGACGTTTTTCTCAACACTGGGCTAGTTGAATCTTTTATTTAGTTAGAACGTTTTTTCCATACATCAACGTTTCGGGCATCAGCCCCTCTTCAGCTAACTAAATATATATAAAAATATTTAACAGGACACAAATAAAAACCAAAAAACTCACATAAATTCTTTGTAAACCATACCTCATTTCAGCATGGACACTGCACATACAGTAGAAATCGGACTACACTTAGGTTTTTTTAACATTTTCATTATCAATTTTTTTATCACAATTTTAACTATACAGGTTAAAAACAAAACTTTTTCTACATTTTATTACATAAACAAGATAAACTCTGCAGATTTTAAAAAACTAAAACTTACAAATTTCAAAAGTCTTTTTTTGCCACCTCGTCGACTGATCCGACAATTTGCATATAGCACTATGTGCCGTAAGTTATACTAGTTAACAAATTAATCGACAAACATTTGAAAATCCCTAAGGAAATTACAAAAAAATTTTTAATTTTTTTATACAATAAATCACTATTTCTCTTAAAGTTTACTCTGCATATTTTCTTATTATCTAATTTACATATGACGTTAATACAGAACATTGTTTCATTAAATA